GCACTCACAACACAAATAATTAGACAAAACCAGTTTGGGCTTAAACAAATCGCACAAACAACAAAATGGGGGTAAACACGCCGGCAGAGGGACAGAGAGGGCATTATAGGCTGGCAGGGCGATGGAGCGAGATGGCGACAGATAATTGGCGACGTAAGGCAGAAAAACCTTGACTTTGACTTTAAATGACTCGACAACTGATCGCACGCTAACACGCTCCAACAGGCGGCGATAAAAGCAACAACGCCAGCAGCAGCAGCAGCAATAAAATATTGTATAAACAAATAAATTGAAATCGAAATCGAAACGAGATGAATGAACACAGCACAACGAAACCGAGCCAATGAAATCAAAACTCATTGCGAATTTATAATTCGATTCGAAATCACACGATGATCATTTCAATATCAAGGTCATTAGCAGCTGCAGCTGTCCAAGTTCTGTCGATGGCCACCTGCTCCCACCGAGCCGTCAATCTCCTCCTGACTTGATTCCAAATGGCATACGGAATGAGCTATATCTCAATCCCCCTATATATAGCTTGGAAACAGCTTGCTTCATTTTGCAATTTAAATGAGCCCCCATCTAAGTTTGTGTATGAAAGCAATTCTTTTGATTCTTCTTACGGCTTTAGCTTCTTCTTCACTTGATGTTGTTGTTGTTGTTGTTGTTCTTTCTTTTTTGGCACGCATGCCGAGAGTTCATTGACTGTCATCCACACACTCAAACACTCAAACACACACTTTCCGCCCCACCCCACAAAACAAATGACTTAGGCAACAAACTTGCCTTCATTCGGTTTTCGTTTTCATTTCAAGCCCAAGAAGAGGCTGTGTGCGGAAGCGAGACACGGCGATAGGGAGAGGCCAAGGACCTAGGCCAAGAATTAGAGAATCCCCTCCCCAGGTCCCCCCTCGAAAAGTGAATCTGCCGCTTCAGCTAGCAGCGGCAGCAGCAGAAGAAGAAGCCAATGACCAGGAGGGGAAACCAGTTCAGATCGGCTCATCCTTGGGCCAGGGGCTCGGCTTGAGTTTGGGGCAGGTTGCAAACAGCCAGCTCCTCTATCTCAGCCACCTCCTCCTGATCCCCGTATCCCTCCCCTAGTGGTACAGGCATCGCACATCGGGAATCATTTGCCGTGAAAAGGGCGTTCAACTGGCAAATGCTCATGGGCACATGGCGTGCTCAACTGAAGCAAGCCAAAGGTTCTTGCACTCATCCAGTTCTTCTCCCACTGCACTGGAAACAAGAGATTAATAAGAGCTCTATTTAAAATTCGATAAAATATCATTAGAATCGAAATAAGAACTAAGGGATTTTGTTAATTCGATAAGTTCTATTACCATTATCCAATCTAATAAATCAGGAATATATCAGGATAATTCATAACATATCAGTACTGTTAACAAAACATTAGTTACCGTAGTTCTTGTTAGAAAAATAATGTAAACTTACTTACAAGTCCTATGGTAACCTATGTAACTTTAAATAATTTTCAGAGTTCTATATATTTTGTAGTTTCCTGTAGTTTAGAACACTCCAAAATTAGAATTGGATGTTTCAAAACGAATACTCATCAAATTTAATTTATTTTGTACGGTGTTGTTATGCCAGGTCTTCTGCCACTTCTAAGGCCTGATGAAAAGGGAATCAAATCACTCTTACTCTTGGCCAGCTTTTTTTGTTCAGCCAGGGTTATTGACTCGCTCGTGGTCTTACCTTGGGCGGTTCTTCTTGCCTTTTGCTTTCTGCGGGAGCTGCATCTTCGGTTGAAATTGTTGCTACCTTGGCCACTTGCCACGCACAAGGGGGGCTAGGGATGAGGATGGGGGAGAGGAGGAGCTGCCAAGTCATCCGCGGCAGCTTCCCAGGTAAAAAAAAAAGCAAAAAGAAAAACACAGCGGCTTAAGAGAGCCGCTTAAGAGAACGCCGACGCACAGGTGGGACATACAGGTAGAAAGAAAGAGAGCGAACCAGGAAGAAAGTGTGGCCAAGCAAAAGAATGGAGCGAAAGAAGTGGCAGCGCAGCAGCAGATGAAAAGAAAACAAGTTCAATGACCGACCTACTCAAGCGCGTTATAACCGAAGCACACACACACACTCGTAGGAGAGAGGAGAGAGCACTTGCGCATGCGCAGAGCTCAAAAGCCGAAGCCGAACCGAAGTTAAAGCCGAAGTTCAGTACGAAGCCGAGATACGAACCTCACTTGACGTTGAACTTTGCTGCGACAGGTTCTGTGTCAATGTTGTTGCTTTGTTGCCTTTGTCGCCTTTGTTGTTGCTGCCTTGACACTATCGTGTTTAGCTGTAAATGCCCACATTGTTGTTGGTGTCGTTGTCGTTGTCGGTGTTGTTATTGTTTTCTGTGCAACGACTGTGACATTGAGCACTCAGAAAAAAAGAATCAGGAAGATATATCATTATTTTACAACATATCACTATCGCTAATTTCAATTTTCGCAAAAAACTTGTTTAAAATCGTACTTGCTTAAAAAAAATCAGAATCAGATAGATTAGTATATTATTATGAAATATAATACATCTTTTCTGCCAGTGCATTGATAGAAGAACCTACCGATCATTAATGGTCACATAGAGGTTGAATGGTGGGGGGTTAGAACAAAGAGGAAAGGTGGCGTTGGAGTTGCCCAACTATTTTGTATGTCTCTCTGCTTTGTAGTATCGCCCAGGCCCACCCCCTCTATAGAACTGGAAATCAAATTATGCTCATTTACGCGCCATGAATACGTAATCCCCCAATTTACCGGCCCCTCGTAATTTGACTATGACAAAATGGCTTTTTATTAACCTAACGGTACATTCACCGGCTGTACTCCACCTATTACTTTTTTTGGTTTTACAGTTTTATGTCGCTGGCCATTAAAAAACGTGCTTGGCGTACTTTATGTCTATTTCGCTGGCGGTTAAGTTCACAAAGAGACCGCTAAAAATGAACTCTGAAGAGGTCTCAATTCTGAAGCTCTAACGAATAGTTTTGCATAATGTCCCTAACAGCGAGACTTCCGGCTTTACCTCTAGTTCATTGTCAACGGTCAATTTGCAATCGAATGCAACACAACCCCCATAAACAGAGCATGCGTTGCGGAAAATAAAAGAGAGAATTTGGGTTAGAAGAGAATGCAGCGAGAGAATGGAATGAGAGCTTTGCCATGTCTGCAATGCACTTGCAGAAATTTGAACTTACATATATAAGGAAAAATAGATGTGATATAATGTTAAGGGAATTGTCTTTCAAATATAATATAATTTATTATAATAATATCGGAACCTTAGGGAAAATATTATAAAATGTATATATGTATCATACATTTTTAAGAAATTGCTGTATTTCAATGGTACACATGAGATAAGATGCCAAATTTCTAACACATTGGAGTTTCCTAACCAAATCTTATGTAATTTCCAAAAATCCTTTGTCCCGAACCTTACACAATATGTTTTGTGTTCTAAAATAAACTGTGTCTGTGGCTTTCTCTGCCTAGACAGAATTGCACAGTTCCAGAGATCCACCCTCCATGTTCCAAGTCCCGAACTTAAAAGTACGAATCCGAATCTCAACCCGAATCCGTATCGAAGCTCTGCTGAAAAGTGCCGCCCTTGCTGCGCTGCTGCCGCTATGGTTCTGCCCCTGTGTTGTTGTTATTGTTTCGCACTGGGCGAGTTCAGTGGATGCCAAGTGCAAGTGCCAATAGCAATGGCCTCCACCTCCCGAACCCCCCCGACTAGCCCCGACCAGCCCCCCAAGAACCCCAGGAACCACCTTGTTTACTGTCTGCAGTCGGCGGGCAGAGAAGCCGGCGTTGCAGCCAACTTCGCTGCCGCTTTTGACTGAAACTGAAGGGAGCTGGCAGCTTTTGCAGCTGCTCGTTATTTCAGTCCTGACTCGGGATGTTAACGCGTTGGGCAGGTCATGTCTCATGGCACAGCCGCGTTGCGTGGACCAAAAACGGCAGAGGAAATCAGCAGGACATCCCGTGCACATATTTATATATATATTAGCTGAAAGCTAATGCTAAAGCCACAGCCACAAATGTGTTCAATCAGCAAGCGAAAAGCGTTAAGAATAGTACATAGAGTGCATAAGTGCGTTAGTTAAGTGTTAAGCTCGCCCTAAGTCAATGTATCTAATCAAGTATCCCGAGATACCACCAATTGGTGCAATGTGTTCACACGTCGATCAGCGCAGACCATTATACTTCGATCGCATCTACTTTCGCGATACCTTCGCCAACATCAGTTTCTTCAAGTCGCGCTTAAAAAGCCAACAAAAACTGGCCAACACCTGAAACAGAGCCAATAAGACTGAGGCCCTAAACACAGAGAGACTGAGTTTGAATTGTGCAATAACCAAAAAAAAGAGGTAACTAAGGGCTGGGGCTCTTAACTGATAGTTATGTTATAGTATCAAATTGTGAAATCATCTTTTGCCTGATTGTGCAATAGCAATCGCATTGAGGTAACCCTAGGTTAGGGTCTTTTTTAGCATAAAATCTACTTTTGCTTTTGTGCTGACCATGTCCTAGCGCACTGGCTCCCTGTGAAAGTTCGCCTCTGCCGACGCAGTTCAACAACCTTTCTCTACACACAGTTCAGTTCAGTTCAGTTCAGTTCAGTTCAGCCCGGTTCAGCTTGGTGCGGTTCAGTTCAGTAATGCACTCCGCCCCGAGGAACCCAACCGAACCCAACCCAAACCCAAACCCAAACCCTATATCCTTATGTCCCAGACACAAACACCAGCCGTTGTCTCTTTCGCTCGCATGGCCTTGGTCGTGGGGCGCTTTTGCTGAATGGGTGGAAAAAATTAAAAGTGAAACTTTGCTGCGCCTGCCTGGGCAGACGATGACGTCGGCGCAGAAGCTCGGCTCAATTGCAGTCTGCAGTCTGCAGGTCCTTGCCCTCGGCAGCAGCGCATTCACGACCGAGCGAGGAGTTTCTAGATAGAGGATGTGGGGGGGGGGCTATAAGGGGAGCAGCGGAGTTTTCCACGCTGCACACTGTCAAGTCCACGTTCACGAGAGGACCAAAAAGGAGCTGCGAACCCAGCCCAAGTTTCGCAGGACCTTCGCGTCTGTCTGCTGCCTGCGTCGCTGCCGCTGCCAAAGTGGACTCCTCAGCCACAGTCGCTGCCACCGTCAACGCCAGCGTCGTCGTCATCGTCATCGTCCTGTGTGTGTTTCGCTTTCCGTATTGGGTGTGTATCCATTATCCCGGGTACGACGACCGTACGTGCCCGGCGGAGTTCATTGAACGCCAGCCGCAGCGCCAGCGATTTATGTATGGAAAGCGAAAAGGATAATGAGCCGAAGTCGACTGAGCTCGAAGCCTGGGCCCTGCCCCAACAGTACGGAAGGCACTGGTCAAAAATGGGAAGCCATTCTAAAAGTTTTCAATTATTACGAAAGTCAGTGATGGGTACAACATTATAGATAAATAAATATAGATCATATAAGTTCCAAAGTTCCTATAAAGGATCTGAAGAGATGAGTTTTAGAGATTGTTTTTATGTGATTGTTTTATCCCTCGGTGGTATTGCATTTCAGGGAATCAAATATAGATCTATAGATCATTTCGGTTCCAAAGTTTCTTTATAGGACCCTTAAAAGATTGTTTAGTTCTGAAAATATATGATATTGTTTTTAAATTATTATTGGTTCGGCAACTACTAGGTGAAATACACAATACAAAATCTTCAAAAGGGTATATTACAGTGATTTTTCCCAGTGTACTCACATCTACATTGACGGCGTCGTCTGGCGTCTGCAAATGCCTGAAAAGGGTCGTTCGCCTTTTCTGTTGTCTGGCCCTTATTTTTGTTGTATTTGTATTTTTTTTCTGCCCTGTGCGAGTGTGTTTTTTTTACTTTGACTTTTTTGTTGTTGTCATGGTCTGGCAACCAATCTGCCCCGCCCCCTTTTCGCCAATGGGAGGCAGACACTGGCTGCTCCTTTGTCGAATTTATGCGCATTTTCAATCGCTTTGTCGTAGGTCGTGTTTGTTGTTGTTCCGTACGGAACTGTCGTCAAGGTAATGTGTCGCCCACAGGATTATGGATTTAAGCCGCTTCCTATCGACGTGTCCTGATCCCTCTGTCTGCCACAAAGAGGTGTCCTCAAAGGATCTGTCTTTTGCGCTTCCTGCTCGGCTGGATTTTCAACTTAAAAGTTCTCCACTTTTAATTGTTGTTCAGCTTATGGGGCTTATTGATTTTCGCCACAGGACAAATGGTAGTTTTTTGCTAGTTCTGTTCCTTTTTTTCCTGGTAGCCATGACATCATCAGCAACATCATTTGGCTGCAGTTGAATTTGCATTGCCTCATCGTGGCTGCGCCTCTGCCTGCGTCGACGTCGACGTCTGAGTCTGGGTAAAAAGCATTTGACCTTTGGGTTCGTTAACCCTTTTGTACACTAGATGATGTAAGCCATGGGGCAGGAGCTCTTAAAATACAAGTTGAAAATAAATATTTGCATTTTACCTACTGTATCTCCTAAAACACTTAAAGATAGCAAGCACTATAAAACGGAAGTGCCCTTGTATCTATTGCCAATCTAAATTTCAAAGCCTAATCATTTCTAATTAAACAGCAAACAAACACATTTACATTTATTATATCAAGAACAACAATAGCTACACCAACAACATCATGCAAATGGAAAACTTTCACTGCGCAATAGGGCGAAAATTGCCAACTGATAAGGAAGCAAAGTGCAAACTAAAAGCTTAACGAAGCTAAAAAATAAACACTTGAAGCGTAAACTGCATTGATAAGAAGAATGCTGGGAAAAAAGGGGGAAAAGGGCCACAAAGGTGTCTTCCCCCCTTGAAAATAGCACTTAATTTATGGTTATTTGACCTACGTCAAAGCAAAATGGAGAACATATGTAATCAGCAACCAAGTCAAGGGCAAAACCTAGGTAAACAGAAATAATAGAAAAATAATAAAAAATTTATATTGATTTATTATCATTTACAAGGGCAGCAGTAAAAGTTGGAAAAACAATTAGTCAAACACAAAAAGATAATTCAGTAGAGCAACCAACAGAATTATATAACCAATGTTTAAAAACGTGTATATTTTAACGAAATTGTTAAACGTATATCTTGAATGTCTTGACATGTTACTCCAATAATCTTGTTCTTCACTACAAATATTTTAATATGCAAATTCAAAAACGAAAATCAAACACATTGCACATTTATTTCAATTATAATCCACAATAATAAAATGAATGAACTTAATTCTCGCGAATTGTTTAATTAAGTACTTTCGTTTTTGCATTTGCCTTTGGAGAATTTGCATTGAATGTACAAAATGCTTTCTTTGATCGTTTTGCATTTATCATTTGTTTATTTAATATACTTTCGCTTTTATTTTTGTTGTTTTCTCGTGTGCTTGAGTGAATTTTAAAATTGATTTATAATTTACGATTATTAACTGCCAAAATGGCAAACGACTTGACTGTACAGTGGGAATCGGTTAAGTGTTTTTTTTTTCGGAGTGGGAGCGGTTCAATCGCCTTTTCTCACTCTCGCTTGTGGGGTGGGAATCGCACTCGTTTTTGCACATGCGCAAATCGCAGTAATGCCAGCAACAAAAACAAAAGAATGCACAATATTTTCAAGGTTAAAGTGCAACGAAACCGCAACACAATATCTAACCAAAGGGAGAAAGGGGGTGGATTATGAGTGGGTGGTGGGTGGTTAAATCACAGAATCACCAGCATAAAAATATAAATAACTGGCATACCTTTTGTTCGGTGTCCTTGAAATGATGATATTAATTTCACAGCACTGTGATTAGATAATCACCTGCACACACCCACTGTGAAACCCCCCTCCCCCTATTTATTTTTTGCAATGCGGATGAGTGAGACGAATGCGGCAATTTTTGTTGTTTTCGCATTCAATTCGCATGCACATTCTCGACTTGTGACTCAAGGTTATGATGATGATGATGCTCTAGCCAAACGCCCCACCCTCCCCAACCACCCCCACCCCCACACCCCCCCCCTTGTTCCCTTTGCCGCTGAAAAGCTCACACAAATTATTATTACACAGACAGAGAGAGAGAGAGATAGAGAGGGACAAACAAATAGCTCGCAATTTTATTTTATCAGCTGCCCCACCTCACCACCCCCTTCGTTTCGTTTTTCGCTTTTCGTTTCGTTTTGCATGCACATAAAACTAAATGCGAACTCCCCTCTTTCCCCCCACTTTTCCACCCCTTAACATTTTACATTTCCGGGTTGTGCCCTCTCCATCGCGCATACCCTGTACTATTCACTGACTGACTGCAAATCATCTCGGCCAACAATAGAAAATATAGATTAACTGCGGGTAATATCGGGAACTAGATATACTTAAAAGCAAAGCGAATCCCAGGCTAAAATCGTTGTAACCGCCTCGAAAGTGTGGCGAATTCGATGTCATAATAGATCGGGCCTTGGGAGAACATCTAAGAATGTGTAAACAGAAATTCTACAATTCCTGGTTCCGCCTTTGATAGGTATTGTTGCTTAGATTACCAGAAATACCAGGGCAAATAATAAATAAATTGATTGTTAACTGAATTAAACTAGATTTTTGTGGAAAGTGTTGGAGTATTTTAAAAATACAAACGTAGCTTTCTAAATTAAAACATTAAATATAAAATTAGGAAAATAATTATATGCTTAAAATTTTTAAAAAACCTTTAAGAATGATTAGTTGAACTATTTATAAAATGTTTTTTACTTAGATATATTTTAATAAATCCCATTAGAACCCCTTTAATTTGTTCTAACATCTTGTAGCCCCCCTTTGCAGCACTTCCATGCCTTGCATATGGCTAAATAATAAATATTTACATTACACTTGAAAAAATACATCGTTAAATTTGTTTATTCATCGAAACTACTTAGCTCCGGTGATTTCCTACTTAGATAGAGTGAGATGGCGAGCAGTTTATGACTGCGGCGCCTTGGCAGAGTGCAGTTATCAGCAGAACGTGCACACACATATAGTACCATACTCGTATATATGGTTAGTGCGCTAATGCGGTTAGTACAGTTCACTTTGTCCTTGAGCGAACCGATTCCAAGCGGTGGGAGAGACCCCATTTGGGGTACTTTGATGTTCTATTCTATTATGTTTCGGTTAGAATCTCTTTCCGCATTGCAATTTGATAAAGATCGATGCCTGACGAGAGCATGGGTGCTTCGCGGAAGTTTTTCTTTCGTTTCACTGGGTGCAGTCGGCATACATGGCGTATGCGCAATGTGGCTGAGCTCTTATCACACGGGTCGTCGGCGTTCAAGTTGAATGTTGAATGCTGAATGCTGAGTGCTACTGACCAATTGCCTCTCGCTCTGCTGCTTTATTGCATTTTTATGATTATATATGTCTTGGTCTGTGTGTACGTTATTTATTTTTAATTTTGCTCGCGTCGAGTGTGTGTCCTTCAAATGCAATTGTGCGATGATTAGAAACGCAAAGCGCCAAACGATTTTTACTTTTTGTTTCTAATGTCTAACTTGTGTGTGCCGATGTGTGTGCAGCTGTTTATTTTCATTTTCACAGCGATAGCGAAAAGCTTTTTGGCGCGCTATCTGCAGTTTTACACTCACGATTGCAGTTTGTTGATTTAACTAGAATATTGTTGATTTTCGTACGGTATGCATGACAAGACTTTCGACTTCCTAGTCTGCCGAACGCATCTGTAAGTTGCGCAAAGGGTTGCCCCACCCTCTCTCTCTCTCTCTCTCTTAAAATCGAAAGTATCTTGTAGAACCCACTAGCTTATTTCTTCCTCATTTCGCCTGCATATTTTTGGCTGACGGCGCCAGCTGGCAAAAACCCACACACAAAATCAAAAAAAAAAAAAGAAAAGATCTCAGACAAGGGATGGGGAAATCACGAGCAGCCAGAAATCACTTTCTGCAGATCGTTTTCGCACATTTCCGCACTCGCAGAACAGAACCGAATCAAAATGCAATTCGCAAGTGCAAGTGCAAGTGCATTAGGCATCATTCAGGCACAATTACACATACCGACATCGAGATTCACATAGTCGGTAGTGTTGCAATTTTGCATCCGTGTCGCTTTCGATCGCCGGGGCTCGGAAAATTCGTATTCGTATTTCGCATTCGCATTTCGCATTCTACGTGCGTGCAGTTCGACGAGCGGTCGGGATCAGAGCCAAATTGGTAGCTCCTTTTAGCCACTTGAGCGGTTTACCGGGGGAGTTGACTACGTATATGGTTCATATATAGCCGTATTTATTGTTCATCTATCTATACAGATTGGGTGAGTCCACAGCAATCCCCCCCCCACGAATGGCCATCAAAGTGAACTTCCTGGTTATGCGATTGCACTCAACTTGGTTGGGGGGCGCGATATCATTTTGAACTAATGGTTGGGCTTAGCGGACCGATAAGAACGAGAGTTCCTGGTATTTCCTGCTGCATATAGCACAGGGATCTGATGAGGGAAGTCCCTATTTAGATTAACCGAAGTACGTAAGTTTGCTGGTAAATTTATTCTATTTATTCAAGATGGGGGCTGAAGGACAACTTCCTGTATTTATTTCCTGAATTCTATATTTAGATCATTTTATTTAATAGAGAGTAGGTTTATATATCTAATTTATATCTTTAAATACAAAATACCTGTTATTATTGACTATTATACCTGTTAATTATTGAAGGATGTTTTTAATTTTGTTCACATTTTATTTAATCATCATTGACCAAGAAGTGTAATACAAATACACTTAAGTCCTCTCTATTAATTTATGTAATCACAATAAAGTGATCACGCAATTTCTTGTGTCTCAAAGAAGAGCCCCTCAGAACCACCCCAACGAAACTTCGCCATTTCTAGGAATAAAACAGAATGGCCAGCCTTGCACAATAAATTCATGATTGCGCAGCTGAAAATGTCTGAAAAGGAAATAAAAAAGATGTGTAGGAAAATCAACATTTTAATAAGTCGACAAGCAACCACCAATAAACCACGGCTGCAACCACTAGCCGCACCACCGAGCCACCAAACCACCGAGCGAGAAGCTTTTTGCCAGAAAGCGTTTTCACAACCCTCTCTGGCTGAGAACTTTCCGAGCGGGAAATTGTGAATTGAGAATCTTTCACGGGGATGCGTTCGTATTGCACTGAAAACTGTATTGGTGCAATGCCGGCTACTGTCTGTGTATTGGTGCGGCCGTGCGTGCGTGTGGGTGAGTGCAATTTCGAGCTTTTTTGGGGTCTATGCCGGTTGGATGTGGGTCAGTAGTAGGAACTCTCGGTTGGCGGCGTCAACGTTTCCCTGGCTCTTCTTCATAAAAATACAAAAAACTGCAACCGAAAAGCAAATCAAAAAACAATCTTATAAATATTCTCTTCAATCTTTGTGCGTTTTTTCGTTTTTGTCGTTGTCGTTGTCGTTGCCGCAAATGCATTTGAATTTAATATCCGCCAGGCGAATTTAGACATAAAATTGAATGCCGCAGTGCGAATAAGAATGCTGGCCGAGCAGCAGGAGGTCCGCCGTAGATTGTCAAGCCAAGCCGGACAGCCGGACGGCCAGAGCCGGAAAATTATTCCGGGGCAGGCGGCAGGCCACACGGCGTATGCGTAACGAGAGAACGAAACAGAAAGTGATGCGTAATTTGCGGGCCAAAGCAACACACAAATTTCAAATTAAAAGCAAAATACCGAAATCAGTGCAAGGAGGAATAGCAACAGCAAAATAAAAACAAGCCACAATCAATTAGCAGCTCTATAATAATTAAGAACCCAAGAAAAACACCAAAGGGTTACCTATATTTTAAACAAGTTTAAAAAGCAATGTAAGGGGAATCCAATGCAAATGCAGAACGAGAGTACAAAGCGCAGCAAAACGGCAGCCAAATGGAGGAGAATAATTGAAGTGAGTTTTCTTCGAGGAATTTTCATTTCATTTTCCCAACCGGTAAGGTGAAGGGGTGGTGGTTTTGGGTGGCTATGCCCCTGAACGTGAACGTGTAACCTCCACTGAGGCCTTAATCTTGAACTGCACCACCAGCACCAACCTCCCCTTTTTGGATGACCCCTTCACTCGCTACTCGCCGCCGTTTTGTAGTTAGCTTTTTGCAGTGACGATAACACGAATGCAACACTGTGAAAATTCAGAGGAGCTTTTCACGAGGGGGGGTTGGCGAGGGGGTGGTTAGATTCAGGTATAGAGGGTGATAGGCGCCTCTATTTATAGCGCCAAATTATGTCTATATTTAAAACGTATTTTTCCCCATCCTTTGTGTCATTCCAGATCAAGTAAAACTTCAAACACAAACAACTAGCAGAATAAGCAGCAACCACTGAACCCCCTATATATATATATATACTTATATATATATATAAACCAGCATATATATAGCGTTAGCTGAACAACAATCTAGCTATAGTCGCCATGCATGGACATCACAACCACAACCATCTGCAGCAGCAGCAGCCACAAAATCCGCAGGATCAGCAGCCGGGAGCCATCATGAAGGCAGCCAGCCATCCGCCCCACCACCCACTCAGCCACCCACATCCGCACCAGCAGCATCCCCAGCATGCCCAGCCACATCCGCATCCGCATCCCCATCCGCATCCGCACCACAAGCTGTCGGCGAGAAGGGCGCGCAGTCGCAGTCGAAGTCGCAGTCCATCGCCGGATGGCAATCAGGATTACGATGTGACCAGGATGCGGGAGGAGGACTTCCAGCGGCTGGCCGTCTACCTGGTGCCGGATGTCCATGCGGAGCGGGGACTGCCCAATCGGGCGGACAAAACGCTGCCGCGCAGCCTGACGCTCAAGTCATCCATGGTCTACTCAACGCCAAATGTTAAGGTAAGAAAAAGTAACCTTATTTAAAGAATGAAGTACACCATTAGTTGGATAATCTTGAAATCCTTCAAATAAATACTATAAGCAACCCAAATCTAACCCTTATTTCCCTATTACTTATTTAATTTCCAGACTGAAGGAGTTTGGAGCAGCGGGGTCATCCCACGTGGCACTCGCTTCGGCCCATTCGAAGGCATTCCAACCTCAAACTATCCCAATGATAAGAATAAGGCGCGCTATTTCTGGCGGGTAAGCATCCTCATCTCTTTAAATGCTTCATTCGATGAAGGGTTAAGCATCTGTTGTGGGCTTTCAATTCACTTGCATCTTTTGTTTGCCTTTAATTTTGGTCACAACACCTCCGAAAAATCCAGAGGTTTAAATGTTGCCCCAAATAAGTCATAAGAAATCACCTAAAACATGCTTCCACCATTCCAATCATCCAGCCAAATAAAAAAAAAACATGCAGCTAACCAACTCGTTTCTCTTTAATTTTTATTTCATGTGATCTAAACTAAAACCATCCCAAAAATTACCCAACCAAAATGAACACAAATATGTATAACCAAAAAAAAAAAAAACCGAACATAAATTCAAAATTTAATTTTGCATTTTGGAAAAACATTCGATTTGATTGTGGTTAATCAGGTGCAGGGAACACGCCACATAACCTACGGGAATATTAAGGTACCACTCACGATTTATGCTTTCTTTGATTTGTATTTGTTGTCTTTAACCTTTAAACTCTACACCAGCTTTCCCAACTAATCCCAAAATCAGCACAAGCTCTTTCTCTAACTAACCTTGCACTGCTCTAAAAACTTGATGTGTTTTAAAAATTATAGAATATAAAAGAAAAACTTTTAAGATGCTAATAAAAATATATGTAAATAGAAAATCTAAAGACGACTTTTATATTTCTAAAATATTTAATAAACACATCCCTACTATCTCTTTTCCTTGTAGTATGCTCTTTGTTTGTTCTTCCTTGTTGTGCGTCTTGTGTCGTTATCCTTTCCGTTTATAGCTCTCCAGAAAAAGTCTAAATTCCCCCATCTTCCCGCTCTTTATTTGCTTCTGCAGATCTTCAAGGACGATGACTACTATTATCTGGATGGTTCGGATCGCTCGCAATCCAATTGGATGCGCTATGTGGCGTCCGCCTACAGTCTGTCCGTGATGAATCTGGTGGCGTGCCAGCACCAGGAGAACATCTACTTCTACACCACCCGCGACATTCTGCCCAACGAGGAGCTGATGGTGTGGTACTGCAAGGACTTCGCCAGTCGTCTGGGCTACGATGTGGATCCCGAGACGACGATCTTCGGGGCCTGCAAGCAGGCGGTGGAGGCGGAGGAGGAGGTGGACGAGGAGGAGGAGGAGGCGGAGGGGGAGGATGGCAAGCCGCGATACTCGATGCCTGCCCCGGAAATTCCCGCCGATGTGGCCGTGAGTCACATTACCTACGTCATGGGTCTCCATCTGCCTGTGGGAGCGGGAAATGGGGCGGCTAATGGTGCGGTTTCCGGTGCCACGCCTCCGCCCCCCACTGCCACCCAATGCTGCCGCCGCTCCAGTCCACCCGCCCATGTCAGCACCACCACCGCCGCCTGCAATTCCCACCACCCGCACATCCAGCATGGTCGCCACGCCTCCGTGATCATCGGCCAGGATCGATCGCCTCTGGCCAGCAGCGACAAGGACACGGCGGGTTCCCCCTTGTCCGGTCTGGATCACCAGATGACCCCGCAGGATGGCAGCGTGAGATCGGTGCGATCGGATGAGGGCTACCACAGCAACGAGTGCCACGAGGATGGACTCACGCCACCCGAGGATTCCAGCGACAGCGAGAGTGAGCACAACTATGTGCTGGACTGTTCGAAGAAGGCTATTGCCCCCAAGGAGACAGTGATTGCCCAGGCCCAGAAGCCCAGCAGTTCGCCACCTGCCGTGGTTATGGCCAACACCACCACCAGTGCGATCAATAGCCATAGTTCGCCCGCGGCCACGCCCATTTGTGAGACGGACAAGAATGAGTACAGGAAGTTCAAGGTGAAGATGCCGCTGAAGTATGAGTTCAAGAACAAGAGCTGCGTGAAACAGGAGCCCAGTCTTAAGGAGGTGGATCAGGAGATGACCCTGCCGCAGGAGGAGGAGGAGGAGCAGGTGATGCACCCAGAACCCGACTCCATTTGCCCCTCGACCACCACCCACCTAGGCGATGAGCATATGCTGATGATGGAGAGGGAGCGGGAAAGGGAGAGGCAGAGGGAAAGGGAGCAGGAGAGGATTCAGGAGCGAGAACAATCCAACCAGCAGCCCGCCTCCTCCACGGTCATTGTCCTGGAACACAATTCCGGTGGCCAGGCCCGCACCATTGTCCCACTGAGCAAACCCTACTACGAGCCAGATCCGCCGGGAGAACGCTATCTGCGATTTGGCCAGCCCTCGTCGAGCATCCTGGAGACCATCCTGACCAGCCAACATCGTTTGGAGGCGGCTGCCGCGGCGGCAAATGCCTGTCGGCAGGCCAATGCGGCCACGCCCCCTCCCACTTCGCCCACGGAGATGGCCTACAGCTACAAGAAGTCCCAGCGATATGGTAATGCCGTGAGTCCGGACAGCAGTTCCAATCTGGGCCAGAATCCCGAGCAGCTCTCCTCGTCGGCCGTGGTAGTGGGTGAGCAGGAAATGTCCAGGGCCACCCTGATCAAGGGAGAGTGCTCGCCACCACCGCCCAGCCACCATCATCACAACGTGATCTTCTCACCCTCGAGGCATGCGGCCTATTTGGGAGCTGGAGAGGCGGGTGGTCACTCACCAAGTCCCGGCTATCCTGGCTATCCCCACTACGGAGCAGCAGCCACCTCGACCTTCCACTCGCCACCGCACAGTTCCCATTCCCCCTTCGATCGCCAGTCGAATGCCTCGAGTGGAGCGGGCTCCGCATCCAATTTGCATTTGTTGCAGACGAGCACCCAGATGCTGAACCACCCGCTGATGCAGCCTCTCACCCCGCTGCAGCGCCTGTCGCCCCTGAGGATCTCACCGCCCAGCAGCCTGAGTCCCGATGGCAACTCCTGTCCCCGCAGTGGTAGCCCCCTGAGTCCCAATTCCCTGGCCTCCAGGGGCTACCGATCGCTGCCCTATCCGCTGAAGAAAAAGGATGGCAAGATGCACTACGAGTGCAATGTATGCTGCAAGACCTTTGGGCAGTTGAGCAACCTCAAGGTGCATTTGAGGACCCATTCCGGCGAAAGACCCTTCAAGTGTAATGTGTGCACGAAGAGCTTCACCCAGCTGGCGCACCTACAGAAGCATCACCTGGTGCACACGGGCGAGAAACCGCATCAGTGCGACATTTGCAAGAAGCGATTCTCCAGCACCTCCAATCTGAAGACGCATTTGAGGCTCCACAGTGGCCAGAAACCATATGCCTGTGATCTCTGTCCCCAGAAATTCACACAGTTTGTGCATCTCAAGCTGCACAAGAGATTGCACACGAATGACAGGCCGTATGTGTGCCAGGGATGCGACAAGAAGTACATCAGTGCATCGGGTTTGAGGACCCACTGGAAGACCACCAGCTGCAAGCCCAACAATCTGGAGGAGGAGCTGGCCATGGCAGCAGCGGCTACCTCGGAGTGTTTGGGTGGGTTTTACTAAAAGAGTTTTTATTGTGACCTCCAACTAATAAGTACCCTTTGTTCCTATTTCATTAGATAAAGACCATCCCGAACCGGACTCCCGAGAAGCCTACGAGCAGCTGACCCAGCACATGCATCCTGCTGTGCACCCGGGATTGAGGCATCTCTCAAATGGAGGTCAATCGCCACCACGATTGATACCCCTGGGCAGCCACATGGCGCCGCAGCAGCAACAGCAGTCGCATCAGCAGCAGCAACATCAGCAGCCACCGCCCCACTTGCTGATGGCCCAGCATTCAGTGGGTCCGGCACCCATGCTCCTGACCACCGCCAGCCAGTTGCCACCACCGCCGCCGCACCACCAGCAGAATTCGCCCAGCAGACTGCTGCAACATGGCCACCCACATCCGTTGCAAATGCAGCAGCAACAGCAACAGCAGCAGCAGCAGCAACATTCTCCCAAGGGACTCAAATCCCTGCCAGAATCGGGGGTTTATCTGCATGGTCAGCATGTGCAGGCTCAGGAGAGCAGGCCATCGGTCATCGAGTCCTCCAATCAGCCCATGATCATCGAATGCACGTAGGAGATATGTGTCATGGTATACCATAAAAACAAGGACGAGCTGCAGACCAGAGGAAGTGATGGAATCCAAGTGCAATAAAATCAAATAGAGTTAAGAACAGACAGACAGACGATACCCCCAAAAAAAAGCAGCACAAGTAAACGTAACGGTATTATTATATAGTTGTATATAGTTCAAGACTCCCCCGTAAATTTTTGATCCCCACGCCCCCCCACAACTGAAATTGAAAACTCATTTTCGCGCTATGAAAACTAGATCTCACCAATTGGCAATCCCATGAATTCTTCTTCTCATCATTATCAGCATGGCAGGAGAGCACTAAAGGCATATTATTTTTGATAAATATTTTATATATATACACCCTACATAAGAAAGGATGTGTAGAAATTGGTTAACAGGAAGCGATTGTTAATGGGAGAATAAATGGAGCCGGCAGCAGAAGAGAATTTTGCGGAAAACTGAGAACGAGAGAGAAAATGCATTTAGATTTGACTTTCGATGATTTTCCAGTTCTGATTTGTTCTCTCACCCTCTCTGTTTGTTTGTTTGTTTGTTTGTTTGTTGAGGCGCGCACCTTTAGACGTAGATTACACAAAAAAGTTAAAAGTTAAAGGATAAATAAGGATACATTTACACATACAATACATAGATTCAAGTTGCCTTATTTGAATTTCGTTAGCACTGAGACCCGCGATAAGACAGTAACCGAAAACATTTGCTTAGAGTCGATCATCTCTGGACAGTAAGAACAGATGCGAGAAGCTTATATACGTATTTTATATATGAATATATCATTATTATACATACGAATATATATATATTTATATGTATTTTATTAAATATACACAACCGGAACAGCAGCAACAAACAAATGATAGCAAAACTGTACATAGAAGGAAACCTTATTTCGGCATCTGTTGAACTAGTATCGCCTAGCTATAGATAATTACGTAGACCACTAGGGATTACCATTACCATTATCATTATTATGATTACTATGATTATTACGAAAAAAGAACATATAAAAACTAAGCAACAAACGAAAAAAAACGTAAAGAAAACTTAGCTGAAAAATCGGTGCTTTTGACTGTTTCCATTTGTCCACATTTACATTTACGATTGTATTTGTATTTCGAAACATATGAATTATATTGTAAACCACACTAAATATATATAAAATATATACACGTTAGAATAACACTCTAGGATATTTTCCCCAAAAACACTACTTTGCGCCTTAATCATTCAACCTTCCTCCAACTCCTTTAACCACAAACAAAAAACCGAATCCAAAAAATTTGCTCGTATTGTACTTTACCAAAATTACGCTCTCAATTAGTCTTCGTTTTCGTCTGAATATTATATATGAAATCTTTAGCTAATCTTAAGCTTATAATCTTAATGAGGCTGACTAGCTTTAAGTATCGATATAAATCTATTTAGCGCCTATTAATAAAGCTAGCCATTAAGGTCTGTATATTAAAAGCTGAGCCCAGAGCTCGGCTTCGATCTGTAAGACACAACACCAATTCGTAATGTTTAAGTATTTGTCTTGTAAAGTACGAGATGCGGGGGTGGGGAGTTCGGGGAGATTCTTAAGAATCCCGATAATTGAGACTAAGACTATGCAAAAGTTTTTGTATTTTTGTATTTGATACAAAGCAAGCAGGAGTTAGGAAATGTGTGACGATGAGATGTTTTAGCCAAGTAAGGTCTATAGTAAGCTAGCCCTAAGATTTCTAAGCATATGCAATATTTATATATATACGCATAATATTTCTAAAGAAAAGCAAAACGCAGAAAAGATGAGACATGCCTACATACATGGAAAATATAAAAGAAGATAATCAAAATTATACAAAAAAACAAAATTGATTTTTTATTTCTCGTTTGGTTTTAATCTCACATTTGTTGGTTGTGCAATCATCTATACATTATACATTTTTTTTTATTTTGTGCATTGTTTCGCAAATTTATCATTTTATTTACTTATTGGTCATTATTTTATCGACTTGAAATTTTTTCAACAGTTACAGAAATCTACTAAAATAAGAGACATACATAATACTTTCCTATTTGTGAGACTGAATGAATTACTATATATACAATACTCGTAACTCATAGAAAAGAAACCCAAGCTCCAGCAGCAGGCGCTTCTTATAGAGAATCTGCTGTTGACTTGAAGGAACCCCAGACATTTCGATATATATTTTACCGAACCTTTTGTTTGAGCAAGCATTGTAATATATTACGATACGAATATGGATACATCTAGGTATATAGATATATATTTATACAAAGCACACATACATAAATACGTAGTCGTAGAGAGCTATAGCTATAGCTATTTATACATACGAACAACCAATGGCCTATGGTTAAAGCGCCCAACTTTGTACAGTAATTGAAATCTGTTTCAGGATTCAAGGAACGTGACGACACAACGTAAATTTAAATGGAGAATAAATGACTGCTTCTTAGTGTTATAAGTGACTCTGATTTAGGTCGAACACACTCACACACCCACTCACACACACAAATGATTCAAGGATCAATTCTAGAAATCAAATCCAAATATATATTCCATTATATATTCAATAAGTCTATCGTAAACCTTTATTGCAATCAATATTTCAAATGTATGAATCTATATAATTACAATTATCTATAATTCAGCCCTATATAGATCATGTAGAGCCTTTGTTATACAAGTATGTCCTATAAAATTGTTTCCCCCCACTCTCTCTCATATACACAAAATGTACAAAATTGGTTCTCATAAATAATTAAAAATTAGAAAAGGAAACAACAAAAACGCAGCGAATTTTATTTGCAATCAAAGCTAAGCCCAATTAAAATTGCAATTAAAACTAATCCTTTTAATATTCGAGATGGAGATTGAGTTTCTGTTTAAACCCACTTGAAAAAGAAAAATGTTGATTTGTACGAGCCTCGAGATATATACACGCTTATATGTATATCACTCACCTCTTATACCACAATAAACGAAATAATTGACTATATGCATATTTATACGCCAATTACATGCGAAACATCTAAAAAAATTAAAACTTTAAAAACCAAATTGAGCAGAAAACAAGAATTATCTAATTATTTGAATGCAACTTAAATTCCTATTAATTATATATGAAATATCTCTATAAAATATCTCTAAAGAATCACAATTAATAACAGTACGAAAAGAATGAATAAATACAAAAATATTTCATACTAAAATGCTTAGATTTTCTACTAGAATAAAATGGATGATTTGGGAAATGTTGGCATACTTTTAGGGGCTAATTTTCTTAAAGGCAGTTCTTATCACTTTGTTTCTAGGTTTTAGTATTTCAAATAACCTTTCTATTTTAAACTAAATATTTTTGAGGATCTAGTCGTGGTATTAGAATTGATAAGATATTTTAAAAGGTGTGCACTGTGCATTGTTTTAAGTTAAGCAATTAACTATTAGTTAGTGAAAGCCCATTTCCGCTGAGATATCTGCAACTGCATTTTGTAAAATTTAATTAAACTCTGTGCGAATGCAGCTTATCGTTACTAAGAGCTCTTTGACGGTCTGTCACTGCAAATGGAAACATCAATCACATGTCAGTCAACAATGAATGTAGGGCACTTCAGTGCTCACTCTCACATGCTAACCCCCCTGGACATGCAAATTGTGTGCGTTTCACGCATAAAAAGATGGCAACAAAAAACGTATCCTGATTATCGCTGGAAAAACCAGAGGGAAACGAGGTGCCAGGTCGGGTCAAACGCGTGCTGTGCGGATATGCCACATGGCTGGGCTAAATGGAGCGAATGCATTGCATCGCCCAACACCCCAACGTGCAACCCTCCCTCTGGGCTCTTTTATTTTCGATTTTGCATAGAATTCCGGCCTGGAATTTTTCCTCATTTTCATGTCAGCCTTGATTTTCTGTTTGGCAACGTTTTATAGTTAAAGCGGATTATTTTCATGGCCATTGTGTCGGCGCCCCCGTCCACGGAATGTCCGGAAATGCCTCGAATCGCACCGATCCTCGGAACTCGGACCCTCGGACAATGCCTGGCTGCACTCTTCCCCAACTTCGATGGCATTCTGTGCGAGTGCCAGGACGCCTTGTTAATCCTGTTCCAATTACGCGCATGTGAGTGCCTGCCTTTTCATCCCATCTCGCATCTCGCATCCCTAATGGGCACTTTCGCTATCCCCGCGGCCTTTGTCCCTTTGGCCGGCTTTGTCCGTCGACCACTGGCCATCGGATTGAGACCGGCTCAGCACAGCCAAAATATTGATTACAGACTGTGCGACGGCTGGCCCGGCTCGAGCCGCTCTGTTTTGGGTTCTTTAGCAGTTATTAACTGTTGATAAAAAATCAAACTGACCCTCGGTGACCCCTCTAAACATTACCAGCAGGCGCCCTCAGGGCTTTCCCATACTTCTTATCCTGTTTCGCCATCAATTGAGTCTTCAAATTACCTTTTTATTTGCCTTTCATTTAGGGAATGAAAATAAATGGGAACATTTTTGTAATCATTCTTAGACCAGTTTAAAAACTACAAACTACCATTTTTGGTAATTTTAAATGACGTTTGTATTTATTACGCGCTTTGTTTTTATATTCTTAATTTTTTTGTATGAAATTAAGAAAATCCCTTTACTTAGACCTTTCAAAAAATTTAAAAGTGAGTAATTTTGAGGTAGAAAAAATTTATTGTTCAGGTTTTTTATTTGAAAAGGTATATTATTATATTTATGTCGCATGTTGCCTTTTAGAACCCTATCCAACACTAAGGCTAATGTACTTACAAGTACTTCAAATGTGTTCGTCTTTTCTCATTCAGTACATCCACAGTTTGAGAACACAAATACTCAATTTGAGAACGTTTTAATTTTCTTTGTACACGTAGTACGTATTAAGAACGGAAATAGCCTTGGTAATCTTAATTTTCAAATGCAAACTTAATATTTTTTAATTTTTTGCTTATTCAACTTTATTTATAAGAACAAAGTTTACATACACTTTCTTAAACTATATAAATATTATTTATTTAAAAATTAGAAAGAACCAATTTACAATACAAATTTCTGTTCAGTACACAAAATCTGATCTTGTAATTCTATCTATTCGAGCCACTTTCACTCAAAATCGGCCGAGTTTTTGCCAATTTGACGAACCACAAAATGTTCATTTGATACCTCCCTTGCACATTCGATGTGCGATACAGTTTCCGCCCTTGGATCCGCTGTCATCAATGGCATTGGTCATCGATTCGGCATGCCAGCGGGGCACGTGCCGAAATTAATTGCATGCAAGCCGGAGTCGCAGGATTGAAAGGACAGAGGGAGGAAGAGGCAGGCTCAGCGTTCGCAAATATGTTGCACAATGCAGCTTGGGGTGCACATTGATGTTTGCGAGGGGTTGAAATGCACCCAAAACTAACAGCTGCCAGGCACGCGACTGAAGCGAGGGTTGCAGCCCGCCAGTTGCAGTTCAGTTTTTTATTGCAATTTTTTTGGCACTCGCCAATCAGGAGAGCTCGTTTTTTATGAGCTTCATTTTTTGGAAAGGGAACTGCCTATCAGAATTATCCAGGGTTTTGGGGTGTTCAAATATTTCATGTACTAATTTGAAGTTATTAAGGCATTGAGTAAAAAATGGAGTTCACTCATTTTTTGATTGTAATTCAGTTATCATAAAAACTAATAAATACTTAGAGCCTTGTAATATAGTTAGCTTTGACATACAAACTATATTTTGTATTTTAAAATCTTAAATGTTTTTTTAATCGTTGAAGTCAATAATCTAAAACATACGAAGTTACAATTAGGCTTGTGATTAAAAATCAATATCAAGGTTCAGGAATGATTCTTTGCCACTAAGAAAGTAATATATTTGATCATGTGTCAGCTTATGAATAGGTAAATATGTAAAGTTAAATTAGTTACATATCTGTTTATTTTTTTGAAGGTCGTTAGATAACAATACTTGCCAATATTAAAATAAAGTTCAGCTTAAATGCCACTTAAACGATTGAAATACTACGACAATTTGAAAAGATTATTCTTTTTAAAGCTTTTATTTCAACATTAGTAATTTTTCAAGGAATACATTTTTTAAAAAATATACATATATGTTAATTTTTTTCTTGTTTAATGTTTATATGTTGCCTTAACTACAGGCAATTCAATTTAATCACATCTTATTTAGACAAAATTAGTCAATGTTGTAGTAATATTAGACCAAATGATGTAAAACTTAATGGCCTAATTGTTCCAAATTTTACGTACAACAAAATATTAGTTGAAAGCTAATGAAGCTCAACTGTATAACAGTTTAAATTCTCAAGTGTCCTGAAGGGCGCTTGGCTCACGCACATTTTGAGTGCCAGATACAGATACATCCGAAAGTGTGCTCGGCATTTAGGGTCTATGGGTCTATGGCTCGAAATAGATAAATTGGGCTCTCTTCTAGCGCTCTCGCTATGTTTTTCGGTTTCTCTCCCCGCGATCGTCATGTAGAGTATCTGTCAGATACATTTACGCGTTCTGAACACGCTCAACTCAAACCGAATCGAAGCGAATCCACTCAACTCAGCTCGATGTTTTCCACGCTCACCTCACACACACGCACACACGCAGGGTCGAATATTGTTTTCAAGATACTGAGCTAAACATTTTTCGGGCCTGCTGCGACCTTCCTAGAAATAGTCAAACGCAACGCGGAGTCAGTGTGACGAAGTGCGTCGTGCGCAGCGGCAGCGTTTTTCCTTTCCTTCCCCTCAGAAAACCCAAGAAAATCGAGAAAGCGCTGTGTAACTGTGTGAGTGCGGGCAGTGAAAGATACGGATACAGATACATCTCTGGCCACATGTGTGTTCGTTGGCAGGAAAACCATGCATTCACAGTGAATTTTTGAATAACAACGAATTTTAGAGCGCAAAATCAACCGATTTAAGTGAGAAAAGAATTAGAAAAATAAAAAACAAGAAGCGACAGCATGGAAAACTTACAGCAGGAAAATGACATGGAAAGGAGGACCAGTCAGAGTTCCACTTCATCAGGTTTGTTTAGAGTGGCATCGAGTGAAACTAATTTCTAACTAATGCATAAACGTCACAACACCCCTCCCCCCCTTGTTTTGTGTTCCAAAAAAAGCGACAACAAATTCAATACGAAATCTTATCAAAGTCGATGCTGATTGGCTGTGCGATCGCCCTAATATTTGGTTTCTGTTTTTGTCTGTCTGTTTTTTCTTTCTGTTTTCATATACTGCGCAGTTCTTTATTCGCTGGCGTGTGTTTTTTTCGGTTTCTGTTGTGTTTTTGCTATTCGCTGATTTGATTTTTTATTGGCAAATGGGGGGGGTTCCTATATATTATATATGCAGAGGTGTCATCAACCCCCGAACGCTGACCGACTTTCCATCACCAACCCCACCCCTCGATCAAGGACACATTGGCAGTCCACCAGAGGATTATCATCGCCTCACTGCATTTGAGGCAAAAGATCTTCCAATTTCGCTAAGCTAATTGTACAGCGAAACCAGTTTGGGACTTTGTACCTATAAGAAAGGAGAAGGAAACCTTCCAAAGGATTATCCTAGTGGTGGTGGTTCGACACAGATTGAAAGATTTTCATTCAATTAGGTTTCTTATCAGACGCAAAAGAATTTCCAAGATCTTAAAAGTCCATTCACGTTGTCGGAGGGAAATGTGAGTGAGAAAACGTTGGAGCGGGCCTAGCGACCTAGAAATGCCAACAACCCCCGAAAATGAAAATTTTGATTTCAGATAAGCCAGAAAAGCATGAGAATGCAGTGCGAGTATCTCTATATCGCTGGGCGATACTACGAGTACAAGAGGCCGTTTCAGAAAAGATAAGCAGCCACGAAATGGGAACGAGCGAAGTGAAAACAATTTATGAATGAATGAATGAACCAAACCGAACCGAACCAGCCCAAATGGATGGGCGTGCGAGTGTGTGTGAGTGAGATGAGCCCCTGCTTAGATAATGGAATGAATCCACTCCGCTCTTTCTGCTATTTCCAAATATGTCTTATAATAACAACGAAACCTGTTTTCTGCCCTCAATGGGAGTTGGACGTGGGGACGTGGAGGGCAATAGAATTAGAGGGATGTGGAGGGGGGCAGAACCTAACCCAAGTTGAACTTGCCTCGCGGCAAATGGGGCAAGGACACAAAACACAGATCCCGAGCTGTTCAGCTGCCTCTCTAACGCCGGTTCATGGCTCATTTGAATAACAAAACCATGAAGACAGGGATTCCCAGACAGGATATCGAATTGAGGCCCGAACTGAAGTTTCCTTTTATATTTCAACTAGCGAATCCTGCAAATCCTGCGAGTCCTGCTGAGGAATGCGGCTGTGTGCGACTGGGCAAATGCAAATGGTTTAACGTGGCCAAAGGATGGGGCTTCCTTACCCCCAACGACGGCGGCCAGGAGGTGTTCGTCCATCAGGTGGGTACTAATAACTAATTGTATAATGTATAGGTTCATAAGTAATAGAAGGGGGTAATCAAGTGTGGGAAGAATTTTTAGTGGAGTGGATATCACAAGTACTTTTAGTTTTAGTCAGGTTTTAAAGTTAAGATCTGTATTACAAAACATAGTACTTTAAATATCTTAATTATAGGATGAATTATTACATTTCCTTATGACAAAACTATTTCTAAGTAACAAAGATCAAATTAATACACCTGGGTTAAACCTTTTTATCATACCTAAGCAAATTTTCATAAAGTGGGTAGTATTCTACAGGAACCAAATTAAACTGGTATGATAGATAAGTAAATTTGTAATGCTATAACAGACTACCTTATACGCAATATAGAATAATTAAATTACGAATCCTGTTTTGAATGGTTTATAAGAAACTTTTTCCCTAAAGCACACCTATTACATTATTTTGTTTAACTAATAAAAAAATTAATATTTAAATCACTGTCGAAATATTTAAAACTTGAATACCTGTAGAAATAGTGAATATTTCAACAAGGATTCTTATAGTTAGTAGGTAAAGCAGCTCTTTAAAAGAGTTATATTAACCCGCTAATGTAACATCCTTTCAGAGCGTCATCCAGATGTCCGGGTTCCGTTCGCTGGGCGAGCAGGAGGAGGTGGAGTTCGAGTGCCAGCGCACGTCGCGCGGACTGGAGGCCACCAGGGTGTCCGGGAAGCAGGGCGAGAACTGCCACGGCAGCACCTACAGGCCACGCATGTGAGACCCTCTTCCAAGTTTCTGCCCCGCCCTTCGACTAATTTTTCCCGATTTTTGTACACCCATCCACCCACAGAAATCGCCGGACTCGCCGCATGCGCTGCTACAACTGCGGCGAATTCGCCAACCACATTGCCTCCGAATGCGCTTTGGGTCCCCAGCCGAAGCGTTGTCATCGCTGCCGTGGAGAAGACCATCTCCACGCCGACTGCCCGCACCGCAATGTGGTGAGTACCGAATTCGGGATAAATTCTAGTTCCTATCCCAGGACTAAACCATATCCTTTTGCAGACCCAAAACCACAGCAACAGCGACAACAGCAGCAGCAGTGAAGTCCCAGAGAACGCAGTCCAAGAGGCCACCTAGAAGATCGGAATCCAGCGGTATGCCTGCACAATGGATTGGTAGTTGGAAGTTCAAAACTTCTTTGACAAGTACAAAATGGAAATCTAAGAAAAACACACGCATCAAATCAAAGAAACCCACGTACAACAAAACTAGCTACTACACTTAGATATTAGAGGGGTAGAACAACCCCGAAAACCAACCCTATGCTAAGTTTATCCTCTATTTTTATATTATTTTCTAGGAACCCATAGATACTAAGGTTTTTGACTAGAGTACAAGTAAATGAATTAAGTTAGAGAGCATTTCAATGGTGTGCTATCCCTCAAACAGAGCTTTTGCACCCTTGGGACCGAACTTAAAGCTCGCTGGTGATAAGAAAGTCCCGTTTCGCTGTCACGTGGCCACTGACAACAATGGAGCTTTCCTTGGGGCAACAACAGAATCACCATGAAAACGCAGAATCATTGTAAGCTGGAAACCCGAAACCCACCCCCCGGTATGCGGCCACCACCCCCCGGAAAGTGAAACAGTGTGAGCAGCAACAACAAACGGATTGGGCGAGGACATGGCCGGGAGGGGAGGAGAAAGTCCTGCCTTTCTTTTTTACTCTCTCTGGCTCTCAGCTCTTGGCTCTTGGCCCTTTTGGCTGTTTTTGTTGTGGTTTTGGACGGCTCGCCATCAGTTTGCAACATTTTGTTCGGGCTCGCTCGCTTTCCGCTCTCTATCTCTCTCGCGTTTTTTGTCCTTCGCCAAGGAAGCAGGAGCAGGATACCCAAAAGGATGCATCCCAAGCCAGAGTGGAGCTCAGTCTTAGTTGATCTCTGCCAGCGAATTGTTGTGTGCAACGCGGCGGAACCCTACATTTACAACATTTTAACACAGAAATATAAAAAAAGACCCAATTTAAAGGACAGCCCAAATCAAATCATCAACTTTAACCAAAAAACAATAACTTAGACAACTAAAAGAATTTCAACAAAGTTAACAAAGCGTTTCAGCAACAAATTTTCAAAAACCCAATAAATACAATTAAAACAATAAAAATATAAACCCAAAACATTTGTACAATATTTTTTTGCATAAAAAATAAAAAGTTTTTCAACGCATAAAAAAATGAAGGAGAGGAAAAATGCTGGCGAAAACTAAGAGTTCAAGGTTAAGAGAAAATCTGCGAAAATGCACCTTTTTAACAGGGGCAAACAATAATAAAGCCAGCATCAACTGACAATAACAATAACAATAGCAACGTCAACGTCATCGCATATTCATTTGGGCCAAACCGCACACTCACAATCGCAATCACACTCACACGAGAGCACCAGCACACTCAAAGACACACTCACACATAGAATTTACAACCAGATTTACATGGGGAGCGCCTGTTATGTAATATCCTCCTTCTGACGCTGTCTCCTGTCATGTTCCGAGTCCTTGTTCCTTGTTCCCTGTCCCCATTTCTCGCGCGCGCGTGTGTGTGTGTGTGTGCTCGAGGGGGTGTGGCATGCCGTGCACCTCGGATTTGCTGCCCCACGGGTGCTAATTTGATTTAACTCGCTGCATGGGCACGGCATTGAGACATCGGGCCGAAGGACGAAGGACACTGGCCCACACTCCGCCCAACCCAGCTATTGGTAACTCATAAATATAGGGAAGCGACGAGGTGTGTCTACATTTGTGGCGCATGCAAATCGGGCCCAAAACAAAACATATTACGCATACGCCGATGATAAATTGACTGAATTTTCACAAAAAACCAGGAGTTATTGGGCTGGGCCTAATTAACGAATGTGTGTCATAATGCGACAGGCGTTAGTAGGTCAAGTAGATGCGATGCTGGGCGGAGGTTGGAGGTCGCCGCAGGTTCAGTGGGGGAAAAGCTCTGGCCAAAAGGGCAACCCGAGGACGAGGACGGGGTGCAGGAACGAGGTGAGCTGAGATGAGTCGCGTTTTTCGAGAGCAAACTGTGCGACAAACGAGTGCGAGTAAATAAATAGATGGGCGTTTCTGGCCATTCAGACATTATTACACATTCGTCCCGTGGCCCTGGGTGTGTGTGGGATAATCTCGTCGCCTCTTCGCATTTCAATTATTTTGCAATTTTTTATCAAATTCTCAATGTTTCCCCACCACTCTATGTCTTTCTCTCTGACTGTCGTTTGCACCTCACTTTCACTTTTTTTCCTTTTGCCTCACCCACATTTCGAATTGTACTCGCATTAATGTTTTTGTCACTCCCTATTCTTGCACAGGCAATGTAAGAATGAATCTCTACTCTCTGTCTCTGGCATGATTCGAATTAAAGAAAACGAAAACTCTAACCTAAATCAGTTAATCTAACAACTCCATAAACGGTTTAAAGTTCCAACAACACAATGTACAAAGTCTAAACATGTTTAAAACTCCTACTTAACTAAAAAAAACGAATTAAAAAAACTGCAGTTTAAGTGCTTAATAAATAAACATCACTAAATCTTCCAAATAAATTATAAAAGGTAAGTGTTTTACATTTATTTCTTAATATATAGATGTACTGGTTTATTCCAAAGATTCTGAGTGTTTTAATTATATTTTAATGCAATCTTATGCGCACCACTTTCCACTTGAATGAATTAGTTCAATTAAATCAGACTTTTGTACATGGTTTCTTTTGCTAAACAATTGCCCTAGGGAGATCGACTCCACGACACAAACACGAATTTAGCTAAAAAGGCATCTTTTCAACGGCCACGTTCCAGGCGGGCAGTCCGCGGCAAACGTAAATGCAGCAGTTGTAGATGTTTGGCTCCACCTTGCCCTGCTGCACCAGTGAGAGAATGGAGCACAGGCTGCCCAGGTGGTAGTTGGGATGGGCGTCCATGGTTGGCGGGTTTTCCTCCTTTCCTGAAATAAATATTTTTTAATATAATTTAATAAAGGTTTTCGATAACTCCTAAAAGATTTAACATTTTAACTACGAACCCACCTTTAATAATCCCATTTTTGAGCCAGGACATACGATCAGTATGGGTCCAGGGCATTACTTTTTTATCTCCCGGAGCCAACCAAAGACTCAAGACTGTCACCGAAACCGTATCCATATTCCCATCAAGGGCGGGCATGAGAGTGCCCACTATCGAGGGACACAGAGCTCCGTGGTAGTAATCATGTGCTCCATACAATGCGCTGTACAAGCCTGTGCCCAGCATCCGCGTAGAGTCACAACCAAATAGGAAGACCACGCTGCGAGCACGTGCACGACAAATAGATCTTCCATTAACATACTGCAGCCCAGAACCATGACCTGCGTATCTACAAATTAAGCCATAAGCATTAGTCTCGTTTTACGTATTTACACCAGACATCTTACACAAAGCAATCCGCCTGGAGGGCTCGCTTCAACATCAGCTCCTCGTTGGGCACGGTTTCAAAGAGATGCTGCCATTGGGATAGCCAGTACTCAAAGAAACTGCGCAACCTGCGGCCTGAATTGACCAAATCCGCATCCGGATTTATTACACTCATCCCTTGTTTGACATTCGTTGTGTAGTAGCCATGCTTTATGTTTGATTTGTGATGCTGGAACAAACGCCAAAGGCAATGCAGGGATTTGACACGGCAAAATTCCTGAACGGTGACTAGCTGCTCCCAATGTAGGTGGTCCAGGCGCTAAAATATTGGTACACAATAGTTATACTAGTTTTTTCCACCAATTAAACCCTAAGAATACCTCATCGACCACCAGGATTGTGGGAAATCTCCTGCCCGCCAGCTGTTGGCGCTCCTCCAGTTGCGTCCAGTCACTGGCCAATCCCTTGAGCATGTCGTACACCGACTGTATCTCATTTTCATTGCTGGACAGTTCGTAGCAGATGAGCTTGAGATCCCCGGCGTTCAGTCGGTTGGCATGCATGGCGGCTTGGGAGAGCAAAACTCGCTGGTGGGTGCTCCATTGGTTAAGCAGGCAGAAATCATCCACTAGAGTATTTACGACCTTTATCTGCTTTTGAACAACACCGCAGTGATAGCGTTTGCCAAAAAACAGAAAGGCATAGGGAGAGATTATGTCCCGAAAGGCAGTGAGTAGTTTCTAGAGGAGATTACTTTTAGAGATTATATATTTAATAGGTTTGAGGTGTCCAACTTACCTGCAGGAAGGCGTCAAAGGCATTCAGCTCCTCCCAATACTTTTGCTTGGCCTCCTTGCCCTTCATATTGAGGGGATCCACGGTGACCACTCGCCTGAACCTCTCCACCAGAGTGCTGTATTCCCGGAAGAGATTGGCCAGATTTTCGTTGGAAAATCTCAGGCAAATGGGTCCCAATTGGGGGCTTCTACAATGGCGGAGCAGGGTGAGATATATGGCTCCATCGCTGGCGATTATCTCGTTGAACACGGAGTAGGTGGTGGCGGGATTGAAGCTCTTGCACAGCTGCAGGACACACCATTCATCGGGCAGGGTATGACATATATTCGAAATGCGGGTTAGGCCCTCTGTGGGCTCTTGTGCATCCTTCAGAAAGTCCAGGTACTCGAAGGATTCATTGGTTGGCTTCTCCGGTGGCTTCTCGCGCTCCATCCGCTGGAGATAGTTGATGATGTTCTTCAGGAACTTTTTGCTAAGAATGATGTTTATTAAAAATACTTATCTTATAGGGTTCTAGCATGATATCTTACCTTTTGTAGTCATTTTTCTCTTGGCGGGAGGCTGATTTTATCAGCTCCTCTGTTGTGGGTCGCTGATTTTCCAGCTCCGCCGCTTCGGTGAGATAACGCAGATCGGTGGACTGGAATTGGGCTTTAACCTGATAGTAAATCGAGTGCTCCACATTGCCATTGCGATATTCCTCATCGGCACGAAGTAAATTGTATTCTTTAATGAAATATATACGCAAATTAGGAAATTGCAAGGGGAATTTCCCTGTTACAGGAACTGTTTTAGCACTTACCTTTCGCCTCGGGGCCCACATCCGCACTGGTAAAACCGGCCAGTATCTTTGCCTCACCACCGGCTTCCAGCATTTCCGCGTATTGCTTATAATTGTAATTGTTTATTTTCAAACTCTGGCGGCGTCGGTGTTTTTTAATCCACAAGTTGCCTCCTCCTCCTCAAACGATAACGATTGTTGCCTTCCAGCATTAACCAACACTAAACTATCGATGGACGATAGGAACTAGTTCGCGCCTGTGGTATTTTTTAGGTCCATATTTGAATTTGGCGGTAACAGCCAAGTCCTCTAGAAAAATAAAATATATTTTAAAGTAATGTAAATTAAAAGTTATGTAAACAAAAAAAATATATCTTTATAAATTAAAACACTTTTCTTTATTTTATCAGCAAGCGAAATAAGTACGAAAGAAATTAATGTTAGGTCTTCGCTGAAATGTTTATATTGTATTTATCTCTTTGATGTTCCTAAATTATCAAATGATAAGTAATTATAGATATAACAGTCTTAAATTTATGAGATTTGTTAATTACTTAAAAATGTTAGCCGTAACCGCGTGTAGTACGTATGGATTTTGGTGGTAGTTGCCAGTTAAAAGCTTTTTCCACGCTGTCGCTTATGGCCGTTCATTCATAAAAACATGAATTGAGATGAAAATTTGCAAGAGATTGCAGGTTAACCGAAAAACAGATGTTAGGGTTGCCACGCCGCCCAAAAGAGGATGAGCAGCAAAAACTGCGCAGCAACCACACCCTCCAAAAAAGGACCCAAAAATGGGCTAACTATTTGTAAAGGCTGTTTTTTGATCTGATTTTAAGTATAATTTTTAGTTAATTGCATATCTTAATTTATAAATTTTGGCCAGACTACACCCGTTAATGACCTCTGGTTTTTGGCAACCCTAAACCACACCCTCCAGTTGCCCTAAAAAGCCTTACGCAACAACAAAAGCCAAGCACAAACACACACATGTGCACAAAGACGCCCAATTATTGCAGCTATAAACAAAAAACAACAATGTTTTTTGGACATTTTTGGTTAACTTTTAAGCTGCCACTTTTAGTTGGTTTTTTGTTATTTTTCTGTTTTGATTTTGTGACGTGCTTTCTGAGCTCTGCCGCTGCCGCTGCCTCTGCCGACGTCAGCTGCAAACTGCAGTTTTCTAATGACGTCTTTTGGAGGCAGCGAGAGATAACGGTATTTAACCGATGCGAGTGGGTGGTCGAGTTTTAATAAAAGCTGAGAAGCCTATTTTATTTTTAAACATAACCTATTTCCTCTGACTTAAAAGGAATATATTTTTGAATCTCTTAAAAACCTTTTTAAAAGTATTTAAAAACTATGAAAATGCAGGCGGCTAGAGCGAGTAATTACCGTTAGAGAAGCTGCAGCTGGTCGCTGTCTTGACTTGACGAAAGCTTCGTTAAATATTGAAATGGCGCAGCGGCAGAAAGGCTTTCTCTCTCGCTGCCGCTGTCGCTGCCCACAGCCTCTGCCGACTGCGGCAGCGACGCCGGCGTAAGCATCCTTTCTACTTATTAATTTTGATGTTGCTTTTCACTTTTACTTTGTGGGAACGTGCTGTTTCAAAGTTTTGCCTGGTGGACCAGTGTTGGAAAATAGAGGCGGGCTAGGCTTTAAGTGGGAATATCTCGCTTGATTGGCATGTTCAAAAAACCCCACCCCCCTACATTAATTCCCCTAACCAACCACCCACCCAATCAACCCCCCCACCAACTTTTAATTCACTGGCCTTTATCCTTTATGTTTTTTGGCTGCATTATTGATGTCGCTAACTCGGCACGTTCGTTGTCCTTTCCGCCTAGCAAATTATAACATTAATATTACATTAACACACACGTAGACACACTCACACACACACATACATATGCATTGGGGAGACATTAAAACTTTCGCGCACAGCAGCACATGTAACGAAGGGCCAAAAACAACAAGAGCTGGAGCCACCCCAAAAAACAAAAAAAAAATTGAAAGAGAGTGTGTGTGTGTGTGAGTGTGTGGCACACATTCCAACAGTTGCAGCAACGTCGCTGCCGACTGCGCAGTCGGCGTCGCAGCATCCCTCTGCATTTGAGCGACTCAAAACGAATTTCGAAGTCGCCGTCGACGGTTGTGTCGCTATTTTCTTGCCTCAAAAATACTAACCTAAACAAAATAAAGCTCTTAACTAAAACCAAAAAAAACAGAAAATAATATCTACAATAAATAACTCACCAAAAGCAAAGCTTAAAAATAAAGAAAATTCCTAAGAAAAGCCAGCGAACAAAGGCGAACAAAAAGTGTAGCATACTTTTGTGCCCCCGTGGAAAAAACGCCCACGAGGCAGGCGAAAATGAATTAATCAAGTTGAATTCGAATAATAAAGATTACCCAACAAGAAGCGACATTTAAGTAAATTAAGGTGTGGTGATTTATGCAACTTTTTTGAGGCACACACGCAGCGAAAAGAGAGGGGGTGTGGGGGCTG